CATTTTAGTATTTACTTATAAGTCGAATCTAAACCAAAATTAAACCGTATAGATTTATCCAAATGTATCTACGTTTTCATCACTGAATAAACAATTCGGCGTATCTACTCCTTTATAGATGTATGATAAAGTTAGCAGATTTTAATGCGGTTGTGAGGATTTGCGCTGAAAATTTTGAATCAATTTAGGAGTTTGAATGAGCACAATGTGATTATAGCTAAACTGAATACAACAACTGAGCTCACAGTTACAGATAAAAAATGGTAGAATACTTACAATTGAAGAAAGTTTAAAAGAACTGAAACTGGACCGCTTCAATTTATTCAGGGGAAGTAAGATCAACAAGTTTTAAAAACCAACTTCGCCTTGAACAACAAAGGCAGATGTGTTAAATAGCAATTACTTAATAGATGTTGGTGGAAAATGTTCCTAAAACAGTAACAATCTTTTTGTTTTTTGTTTTCTCGACGAATAGTAATTAGTGGAGTAAAAAAAACAGTAGTAATAACCTTTTTTTCATTAAATAATTGGAACGATTGACTCGAAAAACAATAAAAGAAAAACAGCGATACCGAATCTTACTAAATTAAAATGGTAAATTACTAAAGTCGTTAAAACACGCAATTAATCGAGAGAGAGAGAGACAGCGAAGGTTTTTTTTTTAATTAGGAAACGAAACCTAGTGAAGCCGTGAAGGAGAGACAACACAAAATAGAGGAGCAATAATTTAATACACAAACTCCTTTTGCCTCTCAATTTCTCACCAACCGATCGATATCTGTGTTTGATTCCGATCTTCTTCTTCTTTTGCTATTTGGAAATCGGAAACGGCGTCTGGTTAATGCCTGGAAATCACGGGGAAATTTCGGTGGATGAACAGAACAGAGTCGATAACGATAACAAGAAGACGGGAAAGAAGAAGAAGAGGAAGGATGATGCGAAAGAGAATGGAATCGTGGATGATTTTGAGAACCGGAATCGATTGGTACTGCCTTCGATTTCAAAGACCAGGAAGCGATTTGTAGACAAGATCAGGAAGAAGCCCAAATCACCGAAGCCATCGTCTTCTTCACGTTCCGGGTCGCGTAAAGGAGGCTGCTTTTCTATGATGAGACCTCGCAGAACAGAGGAGAGTGAATCTTCTCCTTCTTCTCCACTTTCTGACCCTAACGATGAATGCTTCACTCATGATATGCTGAGAGTAATGTTAGAGACCAATGATTTCTGCTCTAATGAGTGCAATCCACATTGGTGATTTGTGTATGTTCGATAATTGGGGGTGATTCTTGTTTTAGTTTTTTTTTTCTTGCTCAATCTGTATAGATATTCTTCTTCTGGCTAAATCCATCAATGCCTATGAGTGTTTTTCTTTTGTTCCAAACCAATGATGATTCTTAGCATGTGTATGATTAAGCAATTGAGTATTGAATCTGATTCGTATAACAGAGTGTGATTGATGCGATGCGGTTAGGTTACAGTTTTTATTAAATTCTCTTTAGCTTTCTAGGAGATCATGCTCATGATAAGTTCAGTGTATACATTTGGCTTACAGTTCTTCTGTTCTTTATAAATTTGGATAATTTTCTGTCCCTCTCTAATGTGCCAAATGGTAAGACAGACAGTGGGTCTATTTGAAGAAGTTCAGGTGCTCAAGCCTCTAGTCTACAGGTCTAATGTAGTAGATCATAGATTTTGGCTAGATGTGACTTGGTTAGAGCAGTCACGGCAGATTGTTTAGGATGTGTGCATTTGGCTGAGAGTAGAGAATCTCATTAATCAAGTCTCTGATTTCGTGAATTGAAGAAGAAAGCATAGGTTCTTATCATATCAGCAGACAGCAGTGAAGCAATGAATCTGTCCAAAGAAGAAGGAATCGTGCGCAAGAAGAAGCAATAAAGCATTGAAGTTCAGTGATATTTGGCTACTGCCCATTTTCTGTTCCGTCGAGTTGAATACATATATCTTAGGTCTACTGGAGCAGAGTTTGTTTGATTTTGATTGTTACCTATGAGTACTCTATGACCCATTGAGTTCAACAAATTGTGATGCCTGTTAACGTTTCTGAATCGCCTCTGCATTTGGAACTTATGAAGAGTTGAATGATCATCTCCAAATGATGTATAGAGAGATTCAAACACATACTTGCCTTATTTCTGAACCTTCGTATTTAGTTGTGATTTTTGCAAAATGATATTATAGTATCAATTTTCAACTAAGTTTTTCTGCTCGTAGTGGCGATGTTTACATATGGCAAGTAGTGTAGATATGAGACTTGCGGAGAAAACAGTGGAGCCCAATGAAGTCAAAACATCTGATCTCTCTCTTTCTTTGAGATAAATTGAACCCAAAGATTCCAATTATGTTCTAAATAAGAGTTAATCTACTTGTTAATGATATTATGAATTTATACAAACTAATATAAATAATGTAAAAGTTGATACTTTTACTTTATGGACTACAAGATTTTCAAAAGAAATAATACAAAAAGAACCCTAGTGGCCTAGTGTTTCTTGTGATTTCAACTTTCTAACACTAATCTTCAGCTTGATTCAACTTGGCCACCTATTATTTTCCCTTAATTCAATTATTATTTCCAATTTTCCAACTTTACGTATTTAAATTTCTGATATCCAATTAGTCCAATTTTAAAATCCAAAATTTTAACATGTGTTACTGTAATTTTATGATTCTGTAACAGTTGGGAAAAGTTTGCAACTTTGAGCGTCCTAACCCTAAAACCTAATACCAAAGACGGTCTTTTTTCGCCGCCCATTCAGTCAAGTCACTTGCTGTTTCTCATCCAACTCTTTAACACATTGCCTAATCTTCTCTTCTGCGTTTCTTCGATTTCTCGGGTTTGGATTCAGATCCATCTCGCCTAAAAGGAAGGAAATGGAAGGGATTAAGCTTTCTTTCCCAGCGGAAACTCCACCGCTTTCAGTCATCGTTGCTATCTCTCTCTCTGCCTCTCCGGTGACAATTGACTCCTCCGCCGCCGCAACTACCGTCCCTACTTTTGCCTTCTCCGACGGGTACTTTTCTTTTGCCGGTCTGATTACTTCCCTGATTTTTCTCTGAAACCTTTTTTTTTCTCATTCCGGATTTAGGCGGAAATTGAGTGGCACTTCCGTTCTTCTTCGCTATGTTGGTCGATCGGCGAACACGCTTCCTGGTTTCTACGGCCGCGATGCTTTTGAATCTTCCCAGGTCTCGATTCTTCTATCAACCTTTTTCCATCATAGCACGAATCTTCTGATGTTCTTTTTTGTTTAAAAATCCTTTCTTTTGTTACTTCTTCTTCTTCATCGATCATTAACAGATCGATGAGTGGGTAGATTACGCTCCTGTCTTCTCCTCTGGCTCAGAGTTTGAGAATGCATGCACTCGCGTCGATAAGTACCTTCAAAGTCTCACGTTTCTTGTTGGCCATTCTCTTTCCATCGCCGACGTTGCTATTTGGTCAGCTCTTGCTGGTAAAAAAAAAAAAAAATCATTTTTGCTATGAATTTGGCTGAAATTCTGTTGATTTGAAAGCTCATTAAGCTATAGTCTTTACTAAGTTTTTAACACTCTGTTATCAGGATCCGGTCCAAGATGGGAAAGCTTGAGGAAATCGAAAAAGTATCAGAATTTGGTTAGGTGGTTCAATTCGATATTGCTCGAGCACACCGAGCCCCTCAACAAGGCAGCAACGTATACTGTGAAGAAAGGCTCAGGGAAGCCTGTTGCTGCATCCAAGTCCAAAGACCAACAAAAAGCTGTTAAAACAGATGCAAGTGATAAAGGAAAATCTGAAGTGGACTTGCCTGGTGCAGAAATGGGAAAAGTCCGGCTCCGGTTTGCTCCAGAACCAAGCGGTTATCTTCACATTGGCCACGCCAAGGCGGCTTTGCTGAACAAGTATTTCGCAGAGCGTTACCAAGGGGAAGTGATTGTGCGTTTTGATGATACTAACCCTGCTAAAGAGAGCAACGAGTTTGTGGATAATCTTGTCAAGGATATTGGAACATTGGGGATCAAGTATGAGAAAGTGACGTACACTTCTGATTATTTCCCTGACCTGATGAAAATGGCGGAAAAACTGATTCGAGAGGGTAAAGCATACGTTGATGACACACCTAGGGAAGTTATGCAGAAAGAGAGGATGGATGGGATTGATTCAAAATGTAGGAATCAAAGCGTTGAGGAGAATTTGAAGCTGTGGGAGGAAATGATTAAGGGAAGTGAGAGGGGTTTACAGTGCTGTGTTCGTGGGAAATTAGACATGCAAGATCCTAACAAAGCCATGCGAGACCCGGTTTATTACCGATGCAACCTTATGTCTCACCACCGTATCGGGAGTCAGTACAAGGTGTATCCGACATATGACTTTGCTTGTCCGTTTGTGGATTCTCTCGAAGGCATAACGCATGCACTTCGGTCTAGTGAGTATCATGACCGGAATGCTCAGTACTATAAAGTTTTGGAGGACATGGGAATGCGAAGAGTTGAAATTTACGAATTCAGCCGGTTAAATCTGGTTTTCACTCTTCTCAGTAAGCGCAAGCTTCTCTGGTTTGTCCAGCAAGGATTGGTTGGCGGGTGGGATGATCCACGCTTCCCTACAGTCCAAGGAATTGTTCGCAGAGGTTTGAAAATCGAGGCTTTAATTCAATTCATTCTCGAGCAGGTAAAAAACCTTTCTTCTCGTTCTTGTTTCTTGTCTCTTTGTGAATGTTCTGTAATAACTCTGTTGATTTTTTCTTTACGTTTTCAGGGTGCTTCCAAGAATCTGAATTTGATGGAATGGGACAAACTGTGGTCTATTAATAAGAAGATAATTGATCCTGTGTGCCCAAGACATACGGCTGTGATTGAAGAGCGGCGTGTACTGTTCACGTTAAAGGATGGTCCTGATGAGCCGTTTGTCCGCTTAATACCAAAGCACAAGAAATTTGAAGGTGCTGGAGAAAAGGCGACCACTTTCACAAAGAGGATTTGGATCGAGGAAGCTGATGCGAGTGCCATCTCTGTTGATGAGGAAGTAACTTTGATGGATTGGGGAAATGCCATTGTAAAGGAAATCACCAAGGATGAGGAGGGTCGTGTCACTGCGTTATCTGGCGTTCTGAATCTCCAAGGATCTGTGAAGACTACAAAGCTGAAGCTCACATGGCTTCCCGAGACTAATGAGTTAGTCAAGCTCACATTAACGGACTTTGATTATTTAATCACCAAGAAGAAGGTAAGGATCGGTTGATGCCGTTTATACATTGTTTTTCTCTCTCTCTCTCTCTCTATCTCTCAAAACCACTGATATCTTTTCCTTTTTTCTTTTTCTTTTTGGCCGCGACACAGCTGGAAGAAGATGATGAAGTTACTGATTTTGTGAATCCTTATACGAAGAAGGAAACATTGGCACTTGGTGATTCCAATATGAGGAATCTGCAGTGTGGAGATGTGATTCAGCTTGAGAGGAAAGGCTATTTCAGATGTGATGTGCCGTTTATCAAATCTTCGAAGCCCATTGTCTTATTCTCCATTCCAGATGGAAGGCAACACCAGCCATTGTCGGCTAATTGAGGAACTAGGCACAGGAGAACGAAAAAAAAAACGATTTTTCCATTTCATGAAAATTTGTGTTGAGAATTTGCTCTTTAGGTTCTCTTATAAGACAAGGAAATCTTCTTTTTTAGCTTAAAGTTGCAAACTTTATCTTTCTTCTTTGCTTAGTGTATTACAACAATTGAGACCAAAAAAGAAGGAAAAGATCATGTTTTTCGTTTTAATCATTTCTTGGGTGGGAATCTGGACTTGATCCTCTTAACCTGTTTCGGTTTGATCTGGAATGACTTAACGAGAACGTCGTCGGGAAGAGCTCCAAAGAGAGAGGCCACGAGTGACTGTGTTCCGGGAAACTGGCTATCGAAAGCTGCGATAACAGAGGCTGGAGCAGATTTGGCAATGTTCTTCTGGAAATGGAGAAGTCCTTTGGGGAAAACGAAAACGTCTCCTTTGTTGATGTATTTGGCGACGAGTTTTCCGGCGGTTGTTACGAAGCCGACGTAGAGCTGACCCTCGAGGACGAAGACGATCTCGGAGGCACGTGGGTGCACGTGCGGTGGGTTTAGACCGTTTGGTGCGTAATCGATGCGGGACATGGAGAGGCCGAGAGTGTTGAGTCCTGGTATCTTCTCCACGTTGGCTCCGGTCACGACGGCGCCGGTGGTGGTGTTTGTTGCGGCGGCGGAGGCTAAGCCTTGGAAGTAGAAGTCTTCCGGTGTTATTTGTGTTGAGTCCTTGCATGTGTATCCGTTGACCTTGACCGCTTCATTTATCGAAAATGGCAATAGAAAATGATTAAAATTAGGATATATTTTGCGGGAAGGTCTTGCCAAATATAAATAAAAAAAAAGAAATGATAAACAGAGTTTTATTTTCAAAATTATGTCTCTTTATTTCTTAATGCTGTTGGAAAAGAATGTATGAAGATCAAGCCTATGTTTCTACACCTACTTTTGCTTCAATTATTGAATTCGTTATGTCAAATGTAATAACTTATAAAATAAATTCTTAAGATACAAATATACTATATTTTTTCTTTCAAATTAGTAAAAGAAAATCATTTATTGTAAAAAAAACAATGTGTATCAATCATTTAAATCCAGATAATTTTTTTGTGGAAGCCTAATATAAAAATGCTATATCAAAAAACCTTTTAACATTCTTTAACTTTAAAAATTTCATCTAACTTGTAATTAAAAAAAAAATGTTCAAAAAAACTTTTATTAAGATCTCAACTTATTTAAATGGCCGGAAAATCAAATGATGACCCGTAAAATTTCGTATGTTTAAGGAATTGAATATCAAATGAGAAATCTCATTTTCATTTCAAGATAACACCAATGGTTCCTCCTAGATGCTATTTTTTTAATTATATAATTTTTTTATTCTAACGATGAATAAAGAAAGAGACTTGAACGTAAACGCCAGACTTTCAAAACATAAAACAAAATATATTGTTGGAGTAGATACCATTGGACAAATCAGCAACACAAACATCTTGGAGCATGTCGGATTCTGCGAAGACTGCGGCTGCAACCAACATGGTAACAACAACAACAAGATGGGTCGCAATAGACGCCATTTTTGTTGTTATTGTTTATGTTCTGAAAAGAGTTTGTCCTTGATGAATTTATAATTAAGAATAAATTAACGGATACAGAAGCTTTCAAAATGGTGTTCTTATTTATATAAAGAGAGAGAGAAGTAGAGGCTTTCAAGGTTTATTATTAGGCCGATTGTGAAAGGTGGGGTTAGTCCTTAATTTAGCCAAGATTAGGTTTTGGGGTTTAATTGTTAGTTAATATTTAGGGCGGTTGTGATTAACAGGGCTATTTATTAGAGAATAAAGACATCTAATCTATACTATCTATAATAATCTATTAGGCTGTGGCTAGTAGTACCGTACGAGGAAACTCACCTAAAATAACCTATCTTCCTGGTAATTACTAAAGTCCAACCAAACTCAAAAATGATTACTTTGCATAAATGAATAAATAGAAAAGTGGAAGTTGGCTGGTTATTTCGTTATAATATTACTCGGCAAATTTTGTTTTTGGTCAAACTGAATCCAAAATGATCGTTCTACGTTGATAACCAAACCGTAACGATCTGCTGAATCACGGTCCGGTTTTTGGAAGGTTCGTTTATGTCCAACCCCAATTGAACCGGAATTTGATAAAGGCCGACAGAGATTGTCCGCTAAAGTGTCATTGTCAAGTCTCAAGTACACAACATATAAATATGTTAATAAGTATAAAATAAAAGGTCAATTACAGATAAATAGACTTGGGGACTAACAAATACCCTCTTGAACAAAAATCCCAAGTTCAAGTTGAGTCTGTTATATATCAACCAGGTATTATTGAATTAATCCCTCTTCTCTTATATATTTTATATATGTACACAAACGTATCACAAATGCATAGCTACGTATATAGCTACAGTGAGTACGTTGACGCAAAAGTTTGGGATTCAAAGACTTAATCGAAGTCAAGTCGCTCCACAAAAAAAAAGACATGTTCCATGTTCTTATATTAAAGGAAGATGTTGAGAAATGAGAAGAATAAGAGACAGAACTCGAATGCTTCATCCACCTCCCTCTCTCTTTATATATTTCTAATTTTCCTCTCCTCCATTCATTTCTAAATTCCATTAATCCATAATCTTCCGAAATTAATCTCCATCATGACGGTTAAGGTAAATACATGCTCTTACTACTAATAATGAAGAAGATAAAACAAATCCGGGTTTTGTTGTTTTCATGAATCACTTGGTTTAATTTGTTTCCGTTTTGAGCAGAAAGTTGAGATCAATGTGGATATCAATTGTGAGAAGTGCAAAAATGCAATCATGGAGGCTGTCACAGAGCTAGAAGGTATGATTAAAAAAAAAGTTTCTTTAATAATCAACGGATATATGAGAAATGAAATAAGAAAATTGAAATATTTGAATGGCAGGTGTGAATCAGGTTGCAGTGGATCAAGAGAAGAGCCTACTTACCGTGGTGGGTACAATGGATCCGGTCTCCGTTGTAGAACAGCTTAAGAAGATCAAACAGAAACCAGTAGTAGTCAGCGTTGGACCCCCAAAACCTCCTGAGCCCAAACCAGAGCCCAAGCCCGAGTGGTGCAAGCCTTGCTATCCTTACTACAACACCTGTGACGCCGTAACAGTTAGCACCTATGAGAGCGGAAGCGGCTGCACCATTGTTTGAATCCTCTCTCCATCTCTTAGCCTTCATCTAAAATTCTCCAATCTTTAGTCAAGAAACAAGTTGTTTTTTTTTTTTTTCTTTTTTTTTGTATATTAGCATCATGTTTCATATTGTTTTATCATTTGATGAATCTTTGTTACTGGCACCTCTCCTGTTTTGTGAACAAGTCTTAATATCATTTGAAAAGACATAATTTCACATGAGCTTTGCTTTTAAATCACATCAAGTTCTGTTTAGCACACCATTATACAAGCACAAAGTTGATCCTTGTCCAAAGACAAAAAAAACCGTCACATAAACCTGACTAATAATCACTGACAAAGCAGAGACTAACAATGGTTACGAAAACAGAGAAACTAAAAAGCAAACATACTTAAGACCATCACAGTTTGCAGCAGCAAGCGTACTAACTTCTACAGCCATTAAACGACTGGGACTATGATCTACTTCTTCTTCCTTCCACCACCTCCCTTGGTTTTCTTATTTGTAGCTCCTTTGGCGTTGCTCTCCGGGATTTCCTATTACCAAGTTTAAAAACAGTTTGTAAGCAACAGATGATCGATGTATATCTAGAAACATGTGAAACACAAACTAGAGTGTTTTATTGATCCCATTATTTTTAAGAATGGAGGCGCTTAGTATATGTCAGACAGGTTCTAGCAGAAAGCCGAATGCTAAACATATAGCTAAAATAGAACTATAGAAATTATGTCAGATTGATATTACATGTTCACCGTGATATTTAGATTCTTGTGCATATGCCAGCTCCAGCCATTTGAACAGAAAGGTTGGAACTGAGGGGTACAGAAAACAGACTAGGGCTAATAATGTTATTGGAGGTGTTCCATCCAAAAGCATGCAGAGAGATCACTTTATTGCTGATAGCTGGTTTATACTGCTGAAGCAAGCAATTGGTACCCTGTGATCCAGTATATTGAGGAATAACCTCAGAGACGACTAGGCATATAAAGTTTACCTAAAGTGTATAATATGCACATATATATCTCTATCCACTTGTGGACATGTGTTACAAGTTTGTGGCAGGCTAGTACATGACCATGGACACAATGAATTCATAATCACAAGATGCAGGCAGATTGCATGAATCAATAACGCCTTCGAACTACCAATTAATTTACAAAGTAATGTTCCTTTTGTACTTATAAAATGATAGGACGTAGATATTCACGTAAAAGTAGAAAGAAAGGAGCTTAAGAACTAGTGGGTTCAACCATATATAAAATTGTAAGAGACAAACCTTTCTCTTAGCAGGCGCGGATGAGTTAGCAACTGGCTTGAAAAATGACTCCAGCCTGTGAAATGTTTAAGACAGAAATGAGTTCGAAGGAGAGGTACAAGCTAAAGTCACCACTAATTTGTTCGAAAGGTACAAACCTCCCCTGGGATGACTTGTTCTTTGCAGATTTGATTTTCTCTACAGCCTATTTAAGAAAATCAGATCATCAACGATGTTTTGTCAGAAAAAACATTTGCAGCTATATGGCAATACGGAACAAAGTATGATAACATACCTTGGTCACCCTATCTATGTTGAATCCATTTTCATTAACCAAAAATTGAACTATACCCTGGCAAAGGAAGAAAAAAAAATGAGGTAACTACGAAAATGTCCGGAAGAATCCAAAGAATGAGTGGAGCAGAAAAGGGAGAGAAAGAACTAGATTTCTACCGCTTCATCTGGAGAGGTCCACTTAATATCAAGTTGCTCTTCATCGGTTAAGACATCAGGTTCTTTAAAAAGTTTCCGAGCTTCATTATATGGCCATTCCTCCGGTATTTGATACCTACATAAAATACCAAAATGGTAAGTGTCTTTCCCGCACCAAATCAAACTACTCATTAGTAATTACAAGACTTAAACCTTTCTTTGTTTATATTTTCGAGTATAGTCTCAATGGATCCATGCTGGCGAATGAGCTTTAGGGCAGTCTGCCCTCCGATACCTATGGCACAAAATTCATATTAATTTCACACACAGTTTGAAAGATATAAATAGATTAAAAACAAAAACTCTCTAAGATACCTCGGATGCTGTCACAATAGTCACATCCCGACAATATGCACAAGTCGATGAACTGATCCATGGTAAGTTGAAGCTCTTCTAAAATCTGAAAAGAGACCACCAGAAAAGAGATGAGCTCATTTACTTAACACGTGGAAGAAAGGATAAAGTATGTGTGAGAGTAAAACCTTCGCAATATCAAATTCCATGACAGGGATCTTTCTGGAGCTAGGATCCATCAGGTGGCGAAGGAATTTAGGAGCTCCAAAAGTTAAGGAATCCATATCTTCAGATGCCACGCCATACACCTAAACAGATAGAAGCATATCATAAGGAAAAATTGCAGAAGAATTAACTTGTAAAATCTCCACTTAGACAAGATTGAAGACACTGGTCATGCTAAACTGTCAGTAAAACACCTGAAAAGAGAACAGAGAAAGGAATACAGACCTTTCCTGATTTGCAAAGTGCAGCACATTGCGCTTCTGCTTCGGAAGTGGCCTGTGTGTAAGAAAAAACCATCAGTCTCTCTTTCGGAAATTTAGCCATTTTTATTATAACAGAGAAAGACAGAATTAATAGCAGAGAATTAGGCTCTGGTGCTTTTGCACATAAGTACCTCAACAACGGGTACCCCCATGAGTCTTAAGAGTCTTTTGCAGTCGTCATTGTGCTGTTTTGTCACCTGGAGATCGGGATATTACACATGTATTAATAAGAGTACTAGATTCCACGAACGATTCAGAGATGGAAAAGAATATACTACCTTCACGGTTCGTTTGCTGTACTTCTCAATGTCCTCCTTGTTTCCTGCCTGTCAGCGTAAAATAGCTTCTAAAAGTTATGTTTTTCGGTAGTAAAGTAAATCTAGGTAAGCAACTCGAAAGGCGAGTAAGAGTGACAAACCTCAATTGCACCAGTCAAATCAGCGGTTGCATCAGCTCTCTTGGAGTAACTGAACCAATATTCGAGTGTGTAGTGAAACAACAGTTAGTAAATTCATGTTAGCATTTTCAATCTAAGAAAAATAATCAATTTGAGCAGCCATTCAGGATAATAAAAGTTACCGTTTTGCTAGTTCTTGTCTCTTTAACTCCGGAGGCTTTCCATCGAAAACATAACTGTAGTGAAATTCAGAACTAATTAAGCAAACGTAATAGAAAAAGGAAAATCCACAGAGAAAGTCAGCAAGAAAAAATGAGGGAGAAGAATGTTACACAGGCTTAATTCCAGCCTCGAGAAGACGAATCGTTCGATTAAACATCCCTTGTAAATGGCTAGATGTACCCACAAAAGACATAACATTGTAATTCATAAATTAGCAAATGCTACGAAAAATCCAAATCGCTACAAATGTGGAAACAGAGAGAGAGAGAGTGGTATTAACCTAGTGACTTCACCAGCTTCATTGGTGAGCATTTCAGTGCCAGTTCTCCCCACCACAATCTGCGTCACATCGATTCTCAGGATTGGATTTTACAGAAAGATACTATCTTTGAGTGATTGGTGTTGATGTAAGATGGATATACAAAGGAAGAAGAAACGAACAAGGAACTGGTAAATGCTCATGCTAGCATCGACGGCGATTTTCCGACCGAAGTAGCTCTCGAATTTCTGCTCTTTCATTGCATTGGGCGCATTGTCGGCTAAAAGCTTCGTTAAACCCTAAAAAAAAAATCAGAAATTTCCACCCAACAAAAACAGGCATTATTAGATCGAATTTAGGAATCGCAATCAAAAGAATTGCGACAAGAAGTAAACCCATCACACCTTGATACCCATGGCGATGACAGAGAAAGCAGCGAATGAGTGAGCGAATGAGTGAGCGAATCTCTCTCTCTCTCTCTCTCAAGAGACGCCGGTGATGTTAGTTTTCCCGCCACCTGAACACGTGTGGGCTCTATTCTATATATCAAATCCATTAGAGGCTTGATATTGCCAGGCCTGTTAACACAAACGAGGCCATCAAGTGGTTAAAGCCCATGGGCTAACAGTATATACAACTTTTTGAGTTTTGACGATGGAATTTTATTTTTCTGGTAACGGTTAATGAAAGAAAACTGTGGAGTAAAATCCCAACACTGGCCATAGCCTTTTGGGCATATATATGGCCCGTGCCTGTTGCTTAACTTCTCTCGCAAACAACAGAAAACAAACAACCCTAACAACGCAAGAGAGAAAGATTGTGGTGACCTCACTGTTAAAGACATTGCAAGTTTCTCTCACTGAAAACTCTAGTTTTTTTTAAAAAAAATTGTGGTGACCTCATTGTTTCGAGACTTATTTGAATTGTGTCGGAGGAAGCATGTGTTTATGCATTTCATGTTTTGATTTAGGAGTGACTTGTGCTGTCTAGAATTGGTTTTTACAAGAAGATTAGGTTTCTTCTTGGAAACGGAACGTAAAGGTTTTAAGACCATTGAAATCCTAAACCGACAGAACGAAAGACTATCAAATCTTAAACCGATCTGGTACAATGAAGAACTAATAAATCAAAAGCAAGTGTAAACCAAAAGTCACTCTTTTTTGTTTTGTTCTAGGGTTTCTTTCTCTCACCCAAAACCTCCGATTATGGCCGGATCTCTAGGTCTTACGCCGGAGTCCTTGAAGGCGTCTGGCCGGAGCTCCGAGAAGCTCAGCCTTCCTATCCTTCAGGGTAAAATCAAGCGTGACCCGGAAGGTTACGAAACGGAGCTCGAACTGATTTACAAACAGTTTCAAGCCTCCGTCGATCTCTTTCAGCAACATGCGGCTCTCAGTTTCTCCTCCGTCGGAGGCGTCGGCTCCGACCCTTCCGTTGCCAAGGACCTCGGAGACCGAGCCATGTTTCTTGCTCACGTCACTCCGTTTTACCCGAAGCAGCTCGTGGAATTTCCAGCTCTGTTGACTGATTTGCTCCGTTCCTCATGCTTGGCAATGCCGTCGGGGCTACGGAACCATGTTGCTCAAGCCCTGATTCTTCTTATGAATCGAAAGGTAATGTGATTGGTTGGAATTCTGAGCTGCTTTTTAAAATTGGTTTTGGTCTGTTCTGAGAGAATGATTCTACTGTTTTCTCTTGGTGTGTTAGTTTCTTGTCATCGAGGATTTGCTGGCTCTGTTTCTTGATATTCAGACTCTTGGTGATAAAAACTTGCGAAAGCTTGCTTTCTCTCACATTGTTCAAACTATTCGTAAGATGAGTATCACCGATCCTAGGCACAAATCACTTCAGAAGATTGTGGTCTCTATGTTGGAGGTAAATTCTTTTTCTTTTCCCTTTTTTCATGGGATTGTGTAACTGATAGTTTTTGATAGTAGATATAATATAATATTAGCTTTGTGCCTTTTGCTATGTTTCTAGCAAGAAGATGAAACCAAGGCTAAGAGAGCACTTGTTACCCTTTGCGAGCTTCACAAGAGAAAGGTCTGGCTTGGTGATAAACATGACAGAGTAGCAATTGCGATTTGTGAAGCCTGCTTTCATACTTCACCTAGGTACGCACATCTTTTTTTTTTTTCTAACGGTGGAATATATGATTTGGTTGGTCAAGTTACTAACTTGTCTTTTTTTTTTTTAAATATGTTCAGGATCATGATATCTTCCCTTCGGTTTCTTCTTGACTACGAGAACATTGACGATGAGGATGATAGTGATGCTTCAAGCAGCGATGACGAGGATCCAAAGCAAGCATCTCAGGTTGTGATTAACAGAGAGGCTGTTTACAAGGTAAACAACATTATTAATGAATTCTTACTAGAGAGCATGCATGAAGACAAATTTTCTTGGTTAGTTTATATTTAAATAAATTTTCCTTATCCGATGTTTAGGCAAACAACAAAGGTACATCTTCTAGCAAGAAGAAGAAGCAAGCAAAACTGCAACGTGCAATGCGTAGTATTAAAAAAAAGCAGCATGCGTCGTCTGAGAACACCAATTCAACTTATTCACCTCTTAATCATCTAAATGATCCACAGGTTCTTCATTTCCTAGCCTTTTTGTAGTATGTCTCATATGCATGCAGAGCAGAGAATATAAATACGATGGTAATTGAATGTTTAGTTTTTTTTTTACAGAATTTTGCAGAGAGATTGCTTTCCCGTCTTCAGACTAGCAAGAGCATTGGGAAAACTGCTGAACGTGTTGAGGTGATTATTCTCCCTCTTTTTAACTATATATATGATGTAATCCGATATGAAAAATTGCTTATATATACTTATATCTTCAAAGCTATGCAGACCAGGTTGATGATGATAAAAGTTATTGCACGAACAATAGGTCTTCACAAGTTGCATTTATTAAGCTTTTATACTTATCTTCAAAGCTATGCTAAGGTAAGATTTTTCTTCTAAAAATTTCTTTTGCTAACTGGAATTTTTATTAAAAATACATATGAGTTAAAATGCAGCGAGATGTAAAGGACGTTACACAAATACTTGCAGCAGCAGTTCAGGCTTGCCATGATGGGGTATATATAGAAACATTTCCACTTTGAAGCAATATTTGCTTTTCTCATTCTTCAATCCTTGCAATAATAATTTTTTTCATTTTTCTCGGGGCAGGTACCTTCTGATGCCGTGGAGCCACTATTCAAGCAAATAGTGAATGAGTTTGTTGACCAATCACGTCCTGAGGTGTGATTTCAAGCTTTCTCACATCAAGGGATTTAACTAGCAAGCTTACTCTATCATATATATATATATACTTTTCTTTTTTAATTCATTGTTTTTATTTATGTAACCAGGCAATTGCTGTCGGACTCAATGTGATACGAGAAATGTGCCTGAGGATTCACGATGTAACTAGTTCTTAACTCTGCTTTAATAATATTCTCATATAAATGTAGTTAGTGTTATACAGCACCAATCCTTTGTTTTCTGAATTGTCTTTTTGCTGCTTCTTTTTGTTTTGTCTCCTTTCACTTCAGTTGATGACAGAAGACTTGCTGCAAGATCTTGTTCGGGAGAAAAAGTCCAAAACAAAAGCCATCTCAGCAGCAGCTCGTTCCCTCATAGCATTGTTCAGAGAGGTAGCAAGAAGCAATAGATAAGTTAGTTTGAACAAAATAATAGATGTAATGTGGTTAACCAAGAATAGCATTTTGTGATTTTCAGATCAACCCTTCGCTGCTAGTGAAAAAAGACCGTGGCCGTCCTGGAGGTCCCGTTGCCAGACCTAAACAATATGGAGAAGTTAATGTCTTCAGCAATGTTCCCAATGTTGAGCTATTGGAAGAAAGTGACAATGAGAGAGAGACTGATGATGATCAAGACGCGGAGTTGCCTGGCAGTGATGATATCGAACAAGAGCTGATACCTGATGGAAGTGGAACTGAGGACGAGGCTGAAGAAGATTCTAATGATGGTGATGATATGAATAACACTGAAGATGATAGTGATACTGATACTTTGGTCGGTGGTGATGAAGAGGAAGAGAAGAATGACAGTGACGAAGCCGGGACTGATTCGGAAAAGAGCGAAGAAGATGATGGAGAAGCTTCTGATTCTTCTGTAGAGGATAGTGGAAACGAAGAGAAGACAAAAGGGAAGAAAAGGAAGATGGTATATTTTGATTCAAGCCTACGAGCACTAAAGAGATTCGCAGAAGCAAAGAACGAGCAGCCAAAATCTTCTGCTGAAAGTGATGGCATACTTTCCAATGCGGACTTCCGAAAAATCAAAGAACTTCAGGTATATATCTATGCGAAACAGAGAAGCACTTTTACTCTGTGCTTCATTCTGTTTGGTAAAGAAGTCCAACGTTGTTGATGTCTCCTTGTGTCACATACAGGCAAAGAAGGATGCGAAAATTGCATTGGCTCGAAAAGGATTCAAAGTTCCGGATTCTGATCAGCTAAGTAAGAAGCGGGTCGATCCAGCCAAACTTGAAGTAAGCTTGTTACCTATGAAGAAGCTCCATTTTAGTCACAAAATGTTTTGGTGAGAGATTCCATGTTAACTGATTATTATTTTTGTTTACGCTTTCCACAGGCTCACATAAGGCATAAACTAACGAAAGAAGAAAGAATGGAATTAGTTAAAGCGGGTAGGGAGGACCGAGGGAAATACAAATCCAAGACTGCCATCAAGCAGAAGAAGGTATCCGCTTTTTTTTTGTTTTTTTGGTTTCTGTTCTTGCAAGAAATGGTTATGTACAACCATGCATTCCATTATTGAATATTTGTTTGATGGTCCAATAACTGCATGTGTGAATTGGAAAACGCAGAGTGGAGGATCGAGCAATAGGCAGAAGGAGCACAAGAAGAATATGCCTCTCGCTGCAGTAAGATCAAAGGTTGGGAAATCAAAGAGAGCCAAGAAAATGAAGAATAGCCTCAGCGGAAGCCAGTTCAGAGGTAGGAAAGCTTGGAAGTGAAAAATGAGCAAAACTCATCCTTCCCTAGTTCCCTTCTTTTTCGTCTCAAAACGGGAACACAGCTTAATTTGTTTTTCTTTTTCTCCATTATTGCATAATTATTATTGTTATGTTCAATATGTATGCAATTTTGATCTTGAAGAGCTCACGGCATTAAACGTTGTCCTTCTCTTTGTTAACACAAGTTTTTTCTTAGATTTGGTAGTAATAGTATCATAAATTTTCTTTCTATTTTAATATATTTTTAATGCCTTCTTAATTTCTTATAGGATGAAGCAAGATTGCATTGTAGAGCGATTCAAATAATTTGCTTACTGTTTCAACACTATATAGCATTTGTTTTAAATTTAAATATCTTTCTTACTGACAAACCATTTGTTAGGCTTTATGCAACATTTGAAAGACTTTAAAATGAAGATTTCAAATTAGTTAAGAGGATCAGTAGAAACACCTTTGAGTTTTGACGATTAAAAAAAGAGTGGCGGTTTGGAGCAAATGAAACTGTAATTGAGTTGCTAAATACGGGATGTTTCATTATTCGTTCATGCATGGGAATCGTATGGGGGGCATATATAGTTGAAAAACAAAATCGTATGGGGCAGGGAGTAAAAACCAAAGAACGAATCGGTGGTGCTACGTGATCTTTCTCTAATGTCTAGCTACTTTATTGATATTATTAAATCAATCTATCGAGAGAACGAATATAATCATAGTGCATAGCGTTGTCTTAAGTCTCTAAGAAAACGGTGGTGGTACGTGATCATATTAAATCATATTTACGCCTTAAAACTCACACCGACACGATTTTATGGAGAAACGTTACGCCCCACGGGAAAATACAAGGGGATAACGGTGCCCTTCATATTTTCGAAGTTCACGATTAAACCCTCAAGCTTTAATTTTCTTAAGGAAGCGCCATAATCTTTCTTTACCGGAGCCACATTTTTTTATTCATTCCTGTTACCAGAAAACCGAATCTCTTTCCAAACAAGGTTTAAACTAGCTAGGGATACAATAAAGTCTAAAAAAGTAAGTTTAAAACTATGAAGCATTGGATGAAGGGGAAAATTTAACAAATCCCAATGATTGTAGCTCAAACGCAAATAAAATTGAAACAAAGGTCCTTCTTACAAAAACAAGAGTTGATTGGAAGATAGCGCCGTACCGTCTGGGGCTGTTTGTTTTGTGATAGCGTAACATGTGCATCGGATTTATAAAATAGCCCCACCATTTCTTTATCTTCCTCTCCCAGCCATTTGTTTCAAACCGATTATACAATAAGACATTTAGCTTATCATTTTTTTTTTTCAAAGGTTTTGGCATTTTCTTGGTTAGTCAAAGAGTTTTGGACGGGGAAACGTGGAAATACGTAACTAATTAAACTTTGAAACAATGTTTCAAATTAACAGATATACTTTCATGTGAGGATCTTTTTATGCAGAAGATAGTTTGGATTTCTTTTTTGGATTTTATTTGGCACTCTTTGACAAAATATGGTTTAGGGTTTTGTGTAATAATTTTGACATCCTTGAGTACTTCAGACTCAATCAAAACAATGATAGTATGTTTGACCCAAATCTTAAAGAATGTTTTAAATCCAAATGGGTAAACCGCGTTACATGATTACCAATTCCGTAATCACCGCTCATGATTTTGTTGTGCTTTTTTTAAAAAACCAATAGACAAATAATAGATACATAAGATAGGTGGGGGAAAAAAATCACTTAGACAACAGAAACGTAAAGTTACTAATTAATTGAGTAAATAATACTTTCCAAAGCGTGATGTAGAAAATACCATAAAATTAAAGCTATTAATTGTATTTACTTGTATTGTTTCCTTTTTTGTTTGATGATGATGTGTGTTTTTCAAGTATGAACCATTGAGCCAACATCTAGTAAACAAAAAAATGGTCTCTGTCTTAATTACGATTATTATTATACTTTTTCTTAATATAAATCAGTTAATTAAGAAAACCAAGGTAAGGAGATTCCAAACGTGAATCCAGCCATGAAATCTTTTTATTTTATTTTTATTTTTATTTGAACAGTCTTCTTCACTCACTTCTCCACTGCTCTGCTCTGTCTCTTTCTTCTTCTTCTTCCTCATTAAAAGCTCAAACATGCAAATTCTTGCATTTGTTTGAAGTCCTTTAAAAGTCTGTTTCTTTTTCTACTATAAGCATTTCTGACTCTAGGAAAGGACGAGTAAGAGAAATGAGGAAGCTTTTCTTGTTAGGGTTTATAGTGGCAGGACTGATTCTGGGGACTGACGCAAATGGGTATTTAAAGTTCAATGTCACAGAGTTAGATCGCATTGAGGAATTAGAGTATGGCTTCTCCAAATTTAGCTCCAATTCCAACCCTTTAATGGTCGGCCTCACGCTTATCAGAGGAGCTGGTGCCAAAGGAGCTGGTACTCTCTCTTTCTGTCTTTTTTTAATTCATTTACACAACAATGGTTTTTTTTTTACGACAGAAATATACATATTAGCATCATTAGTCTGTCTTTACAGTAAGTTACTTTCTGTTTTTGGAATGTGAGGGAGGCACATTATGTATGTGCATCCGAAATATGGCTATAGAACATCAAAACTTTGTCCTGAAAACAAAAACATGTAAAAACAGAACAATGTTTTGAATCTAAGATCTGTAAAAGAGAAATCTTGTTTGTGTCTTAATTATAGTTTGTTTGGATGGAACATTGCCTGGATATCACTTACATCGTGGACATGGATCCGGAGCCAATAGCTGGCTAATTCAATTAGAGGTTAGCAAAAATTGTTTTCCGATGTGTAAATAGTTAAAGCTTTTTGGTTTTAAGTCTTGTTTTTCTAAAAAAAAAAATTAAATGTGTGTTGATATTTGTAAATGTGGAAAGGGAGGAGGATGGTGTGACAACATTAGGAACTGTGTATACAGAAAGAAGAGTCGTCGTGGATCCTCTAATTATATGGAGAAACAGATACAGTTTACAGGAATACTTAGCAATAAAGCTCAAGAAAATCCAGGTCTTTCTCTACAAGGTACTCATCAGTAAAAACTCTTGAAGAATGCTATTTTAACCTTTTTTTTTCATAATGCCATTCAGACTTTTTCAACTGGAATAGAGTCAAGCTTCGTTACTGCGATGGTGGTTCCTTCAGTGGGGATAGTCAGAACCAGGTTTGTTTTAAGAAGCATAGAACTTTGTCTTAGAGATGATACATTTGATTTTCTTGATTATGAGCTTCTTAGTTTTGAGTTGTTCTTCTTTTCATTCTCTAAAACATGTAATGTTTTTTCAGGCTGCACGGCTTCAGTTTAGAGGAGAACGGATATGGAGAGCCGCAATGGACGATTTGAAAGCAAAGGGAATGCGAAATGCCAAACAGGTCTTTATCACTTTGTCCTTCCTTGTTTATACTCATTCGTCTTTACATTGATCAAACAATCTTTTCTAATATGTTTAGTACTCTTTCAGGCACTTCTATCTGGATGCTCTGCAGGTGGTCTAGCAGTGATTTTACGTTGTGACGAATTCAGAAACTTGTTTTCAGGATATACCAAAGTCAAGTGTTTAAGCGATGCAGGCTTGTTCTTGGACACGTAAGTTAGTTCTCATGTGAATCCTTCCTTTTTTTCTCCTCTTCTCAAAGTCAGCTTTGTATCTATTATTGAACCGCTTGTTTTTCCATGATTCAAGGCCTGATGTGTCCGGTGGCCACACCATCAGGAATCTGTATAACGGCGTTGTGCACTTGCAGGTGTGATGTTGTTTACCTCATCTTCATATTATAAACTTCATACATCTAAAAAGAGTTTTACTTTAAATTCTTTGCTGTTTTTGGTAATGAATATGGCAGGGAGTGAAGAACAATCTGCCACATATGTGCACAAACCATCTCAATCCAACTTCTGTAAGCTCTGTCTTCCTTTAGACGAATCGCCTGTATATAATCGCAAAAGCTGACACCGTAAACTCTTATCTTTGGTTTGTGGACAGTGTTTCTTCCCTCAAAACTTGATCAGTCAGATGAAAACTCCTCTTTTTATTGTCAATGCAGCATATGATATTTGGCAGGTAAATGTTCTCCTTCCTACATAAACTCCGTGCATGTTTTTATGCTAACTAAGATTGTTGAAAATAACCATTTTTTTCTCTTTTGGTTTTTGAACTGATTTGTTAAAAACAGATTCAAAGTAGTATAGCTCCGCCAAGTGCAGATCCTAGTGGCTATTGGCATGAATGCAGATTAAACCATGGCAGATGCACGCCAGCACAGATCCGGTTCTTGCAAGGTGGAAAATTTCCAAACTTTTTTAAAAAAGTCCTCATTTTTCAGAATGATCCAGCCTCACTCTTATGCTGTGAATTGAACAGGGTTTAGAAATCAGATGTTGAGAGCTGTGAGGGGATTCTCGAATTTAAGAAAGAACGGTTTGTTTATAAACTCCTGTTTTGCTCATTGCCAAACTGAACGGCAAGACACTTGGTTCGCCGATAATTCTCCTGTTATCCACAAAAAGGTAAACACTTCATGTTCTTGATAATCCTTGATTGGCTTTCATATTCGAGGTCTAAATAGCATTCTATAAAAATCAATTTTTTAACACTTTGCAACTTTGATTAGGCGGTGGCGATAGCAGTTGGAGATTGGTATTTCGATAGAGCGGAAGTGAAGCTAATAGATTGTCCATACCCTTGTGATCGGAGCTGCCACAATCTGGTCTTCAGATGAATAATCTTCTCTTCTTCTTCGTTATTTTTTTTTGTTTGTTTTTCATATACGAAGTAGAAGTGAAGCAAAAAAAAAAGTTTCATTTCTTTCATATCTCAGTGTCAGTGATCTTGTTGTATTGTATCCTTTCGTACGTACCAATTCCTCATTGGAAAAAAAGTTTTCTAAAAGAGATGATGAAAGGCTTTTCTTTTACGTCAATGCTTTTTTCGACAAAAGAGTTTGGTCCCAAATTCAATCTTTTACCTGTGTCATTGTGATATCATGACTCAGATTCAAATCCAAGACTGAGTTTGTGAATTGTAGAATAAAAAAATAATAGTCTGGTTAAATCAAACAATCTAGTTGATTTTAACTGAAAAGTCGCTGAACCGTATAACGTAGGTTTACAAAAATATAGTAAAGTGAATTTTAAAATAAATTTGTTTTATGTTTCTAACAGTATGAAAAAAGCAATAAAAAAAAGAAAAAAAGAAAAGAAAAATAAGCAATCAAAACTGGTCGGAATAATAACACTTTTACTCAAGATTTAGTTTATCAAATGTCCACGATATTAAAGGTTTTTTTTTGTCTAGCGAACAATTTCGGATTTAGAAAAAAATGAAATGGTATGCAAAGCATGTTGGAAGTGGAAAGTGTGTTAGAGTATAATTAGAATTTGGGAATGTGTTGGAATGTAATATTCTTCTTGATGAAAAACTAAAAATACTTGGCTTTCTTTTTTCTTAGCCTAGCTAGGGCCTGTTAATTGGACCGTGAACATAATCATTTTTAAAAGTACAAATGTTTGATAACCTTGCCATTGCATACTATATTGCACATATTTCTTGTGATAATTTTTAAGCGCAAAAGTTTTGGTTATGTTGATATTTGATAATATTTTCCATAGGCATTTTTTTTTTCAACGAGACATCCTCTTTCACTGTTTCACATATCATTAAAACCATCTTACAGAGACATTGTTTTTTAGAGCTCTATTACATAAGTATATTAAAACACACAGCAGCAAGAAGAACTAGAGAGAACTACATAGTCACACCTTCAAGAGTGAGTAATTGTTGTATCGTGTAGGCTGAGCATTTTACGCTGGGGCTTCCTTGAAAACATTTTATGTAGAGTTATATGTTAACAAGTTTTACAAATAAAAATTTCACGAAAACTGGTTACTGTTTTCGAAAGAAATGTTATAGTAATCTCACGTTTTAAATATTAAGTTCCCATGACTGGTTGATAATGCAACTTTATAATATAGGGTCTTGACACCGCCACATCGTTGTCTTTATCAATATGCTAGTTTTTTGTTTACGTTATCGCTATCTCCATATTAAAGCGACAACAATCCCTTTGAAAAATCTGATACAAAAAGAACTCTATACATATATATATACATATATATATAATATGCTCTTTTATTTTAAAGACAAGTTGAGACATTTTAAAAACAACAATGATCGAATAAAACAATATAGCTGTAGTGACATTTTGTAATTGTAATATAGAAATGAAAGTTATGATTAAAGTAGGGCCTCAATTATTTTGGCTCACATGCAAATTATGAGGTGTAAGGATAAAAAATACCTTTTTTATAAGTCTTCAAAATACAAATGATCAACTCATAAACGTTTGCTTTTGAAAATTCTAGAGAATCCTTTGTATTTATATTCCCATTCAACAATCAGCATTGGCGGAAATATTAAATTAATAGTCATTTTTGGCTTTGTATAATATTGTCTATTCATTATAAATTTAAAATATATAAATTATTGTTAACTGAGAACTTTCTAATATATTGAAATTCGTATTTGGATTTATAGAAATTAGTATTCGTTTACAAAAAAATTTACCTAATATAAATGGATTTATTTTTATAAATTTTTTGGTGTTATACTGTTAATACTGTTAAATTTGATTATTTAGTTTTAACGATAGTAGTTGTGATATTTTCAGTATAGTTTCTCCCTTAGGAGAATGAATGTAAAACATTTTCAATAAAAAGACATTTTTCTTAATAATTTAATGCTTATGTACACTTTGTCGTGAATAGTGAATATTTCTATTAACATCTAGTGAATGTTTCTCCTAACAAATCACTATTTACTCTAAATCATTTATAACTTCAAAAGATGAAAAAACAAAACTTTGGATTTCATAATTCTATTAACATTATGTACTGGCCTGTTGTGTTTTATTCAGTGAATGTCGTCAATCTACCTTTAGTAGTAGCTCAATATATAGATCAAGAAAGAGAGAACTATCAATGAATTGATTAGAATTAAAAGATATCATAATAAATTTGAAGAAACAAGAACCTCAGACCGAAAATATAGGTATTATTCTTAATCACAGACAGAAGCCGTATAAGCGTCACTCTATCTAGTAAAGCCGACAATATATATATGTAAGTTACTTTCACCTCTTCTTTTGATTTTTGGCGTACAAAAAACTATATAATTGCTCACAGAGTCACATCACTTTCATCAGGTTCGAAAACTCACATAAGCAATAAGTCCTTGATCATGACCATCAGACCATATAAAGGCTAGAGCATGTCAACATTGCCATCAAAGCACATATATCTACATCTACTCTTCTAATCTGACTCTGACTAGCTAGATCGGGTTGAATCCGAGATCCATTCCTACATCATGAAGATCACATTTTGTCCTTCAATAAAATTAAAATCTTAACGTAACAACATTTGGTTTTTTTTTTTTTTTTGCTTTGCTCTTCTTATTTCTTGCATGGCTTTTCCAGTTTTATAAACACTATAGAGAGATGTCAGCAACAAGGGTCCTTCTTCTGCAAGCATAGGACTTTTTGGTCCACCCTTAACAAAAAAAGAACAACACCAACTCAAAAGCTGCCCTCGTGTGAATTATATTGGGATATTGTCAGAAGAGTACACACCTTCGAATTTCGTATCTCACCACCTTACAAGAACAAGGGTCCCTTCTTCTACGCGCATGACTTAATTTTTTTTTTTTTTTTGGTAAACGATGACCATAAATCAATATCTAGACTAATTTGTCGAACTTGTTATTTTTATGTTAAATTCTTTAACATATTTGCTTATTCAATGATTAAGAGAAAACTACCTTGTTGGTTAATCGGGATGACACTTTTACCTATAGAAAAATGCATTTTACATATTTGCGTGAACTTCTCCATAGTAAAATATTGATCATCATCATCACTCTAACAAAAAAAAAACATTGATCATCATTTGTAACATATCGATAATGTTTTTTTAATAAATTGATATGAATGACTATCTAATAAACGGAAACATTAAATTTAAGATCTTAATAATAAAGAAATATTGAGTTGTTTAGATAGAAAATATAAAAACCAGAAAATATAATTTATTCTTATTTCATGCGCGGAAACTTGAGTCGCAGATTGGAATTTTTACATCGTGATCTCTCCTCATTTTGAATATTACTTCTTCCAATTTTCAAACGTCATTTTCAAAACTGTGGGAAATCGATGTCTGTGAAGTTAAAAAAATGAGTATGAAAACTGATCACTAGTGAAGGTATCATCTCTCTCTCTCTCTCAAAAGGAGACAGCGATGGACTTCCATTCTAAGATGCATTGTCCCTTTTTAAAATTCATTTATTTTAATTAGTTGAAAAGGTTTTGCGGTCAGGGTTTAATTTCTTAAAACAATGTTATATATGTTAAAAGACATACTATTTCATATGTAAGATAAACGTAGTAACTTAAATAGTGATTTAAATAAATATAAAACCATAGTTTACAAAAAGCATAATGAAATTCAAGAAAAACTATATATAAAAAACTAAAATTATTACGAATCAATTTCTTGATATGACAATATTCATAAACTATTAAAAATATCATTATATTAGAGACCCACTACATATGTTTTAATAATACAAAAAAATATGGGTCTTTTTGTTGATGTTCACGCTTGCATCTCGTTGTCCGGAATCACTTTTCCGAAGAAGTCTCTCCACTCCAACTTAGGATCTACTAACCCCCCCCCCCCCTTTACCTCGACTGGGACTGCTTTTATTTTCTTGAATTTTAATTTTATAATCCGTGAATTAATTTTTCTTAAAGTAAAAATACAGTATAGATGTTTTTCATTAAAAAGAAAACTTAGTATAAATGTCAATAAGAAAAATATGAAGATGGTCAAAAGAAAATATATATGAAACTCTCTATAAAGGTCAAAGTCATGAGACTCATGACAAGCGAGGAGACGACAAAAGCACATTAGCACCCAAAACAAAATTACACGACCAGAAAATTTACACAACCAAAAAAACATATATATACTTACACACCTGCAGAACATCTTATATATATATATATATATGTATGTATGAATCAATAAACTCCAGTTCGTGAATGTGAATAGAAAATAAAGAAAATACTGACTAGACTCTCACTCTAACACATGTTAATAGTCTAAAGCCTCTGATCAAACGCCATGTTATTAAGTTTTTGTAGATTTTTACCGTACAACTCCACGTCAGCATCATGTAGTAATGTTGCAGCTTCTTCGTTTGGAGATGACGAGGATGATGTTGATCTCCAGTAGTACTTGGCTATGTCTGGCTTCACTTCAGCTTCTAAACCAGTTTCTGAGCTTTGGTTATGATCTGTGTAATGAAGAATCTCTGATGCCCATGACTTGATGTCTTGATGATGAGGATGATCCACTACTTGATTATTATTATTATTATTATTATTATTATTGTTGTTGTTGTTTATGATTTGGCTAGCTTCTGTGTACTGATTACCAAAGAAGGCACTGTAGATACTGTTGCTCTGAGATGGAACTGTGTTGTTGCAGTAGTTGAGTTCCCAGTTGTTTGGAACAGGATTAATGAAGTTTGAGGTCAATGGTGTCGGAGATGATGACGTGGACATTGATGAGATTAAAGATACGATCTGGTCTGAAACCGTTGGAGTCGTACTTGAACTAAAGCAAAACGCAGCGTTTTGATTAGCCGTCGTCGTGGTCGTCGGAAACCACCACTGACCTGATTGCGCTGAAACTACCATGGACTGGTCATGTGGGTTGTTGTTCATCGAGCCCGTTGACTTTACTACTTCTGAAGCAGCTGATGACGTCAGCTTCTGATCTATGACGTGAAGAGATTGAAGGTCGCTTATTAGGGGTTTATGTGTCGTTGGATCAATGCCTTTTCTTCTCAGCTTCTTCTTAAGACATGAGTTCCAAAAGTTTTTGATCTCGTTGTCTGTTCTCCCTGGTAACCTAGTTGCGATTTGGGACCATCTACATAATTTCAAAATGGATTCAAAGAGTGAAAAAATATTTCAAAAAAACTGCATTATGAATTCAAGAAAATTCTATGTCTATAATCAGTTGCTAGTTTATATCAACCTGTTGCCTAACGCAGCATGGAGCTCAATGATCAAACATTCTTCGTCTTGAGAGAAAGCTCCCCTCTTTAAGTCTGGTCTCAAGTAGTTTATCCACCTAAGCCTACAACTTTTTCCACATCTCTGCAAACCTATATGATCATATATATCCACCATTGCATATTTATGAACATTATAAAAGTTATATATATGAATTATTTTATAAAAATGATATACAAAAAGAAAAATTTTCAAAGATAAAGAGCACACGGATATCAAACCTGCGAGTTTAGGGACAGAACTCCAACAGCCATGACCATGTCTAGTTATGTAATTGAGAAGTTTCTCATCTTCTTCAGGAGACCAAAGGCCTTTTCTCAGCTTTTGCTTATAACAACAAGAATGTCTTCCCATTTTTGTATGTATATGTAGCGACTGATTTATATAAGGTTATATGAAGAAACAAGAAGCTAGAGATTGTTTCAGAGAGATAGAGAGTTTTATGATCTTTGTGAAGGTTCTATAAGGTTGAAGAGGAAGGAAGAAGATGGAGAAATTACTTTAAAATGGGAGAAAATGTGACTGGCGATTTCTGGTGTAACACTTTTGTTTTATAATCGTTGGGTGAATTAATTGACCCTTTTATGGGACCACACTCTATAGAAAAACCAAGAGATGAACTTAATTAAAACCTTGTAAAAAAAACTACTTTGTTTTCCTTTAGAAAGTAGAAAGAAATCGTGGTTGATACTTTGGATTTAGCACTCCTAAATTATTATTACCTTTTCTGAAATAGATGATAAAAAGAAAACGAAGGCATACATTGGCTGAAAAAATAACTGTTAGCAAATGTATGTACAAGAGAAAAAAGAAGCACTATATATTGTAGAAGTCTGAATTTATTTCAAGGTTAAAGACAAATACTACTACCTCCTCCTTATTATAAGGCCATAAGGGTCCTAAAAATTCACACATGTTAATAATCTGAATTTAATGGAGAGAACTGTCATTATGTCAGTGATATACAAACCGAAAATTTTTTGTTTGCAAGTGTGAGTGTCCAACGAAGATAGTATAACACTTGATGGTTAAAATAGAAACGCAAAAAGAAAAATTTATTACACGCAATTACTGCTTCAATGATCATTTGCTAGATTTGGGGGGTGATGATTTAACTTTTATACATCCGATCGACACATATATTACCAAAGATTGGTTTCAAAACTACAAAAAAAAGGAAAAAAACTATGACCCAAAATCCAGAGTTTTCTAATTAGCAAAAAGAAAAACAGAAATAAAAATAAAGGGGAAGCCATCGGTCAACAACAGACTCATTTCCATGAAAGCATTGTACGAATCTAAATAATTGTCCCCCAAAAATGCGAAATTTTGATATTTTTTTGACTTTTTATTTAATTTTTCATATTTTGATCTCAAAGGAGTCACCTTGATGTCCTGAGAATGTAAATAGTTCTTCAATGTTTTTTTAATTTTTTTGGGGGTCAAAAGAAGAGTTCTTCAATTTAAGTACGCAAAGTTATGGTGGAAAATAGCCCAAAAAATGTTTCCACTATGCAATAATTTGGTCGCGTACCGACTAATATTCTTATTGACATAGAGTCATAGACATTAATTAACATTTTTCCATTAATTAATTTTAATAGTTACCGACTTATAACTTGTAAGCTCTCTTTAATCTTATATTGATGAGACTAATATAACGCGTAAAGGAAAAAATAAAGTCGAGTTTGATTAATTTCGAGCATGTATCTACACGAGAAATATTTAGAAACGTATATTATATTAGAAGATGGGTTCTCATTATTATCGTATTATAGGAAAGAGAAATGTTTTTTGAAACAATATCATGATTACTTGAAAACAAATATATGATTTCCTATTTTCCTGTATAAAGCAACTAGCTTAAGCTGAGTATTAAGAAATTATAAAATCATCAGCATAATTGAAGAATATCATTACAAGTTACAACAAAAACAAACACTCTCAATCCCTTGTATATCCAACCTGTCTCCTTTGACATGTTGTTGTAAGAGGAAGAAATCTCATAGCTAACCTCAATCTAATCATAATGATGTACTATAATTTCAGTTGAAATGTGACTTTTCCGTATATATATCTTAACATATATTACGCAAATTAGTCGTCGATAAACGAAGTTAGAACTTAGAAGTAATGGTAAAGGCAACCAGTTTTTTCGTTTTCCAGTTTCTTAAAGTAGATCATCTTCTTATTTTCTTATCTTTTTGGGTAAGCCGAAATTGGACTTAAATATTTATTGTTCGTAGAAAGTATTTATTGGGTATATATTTTATGTTTATGTGCATAGAAAGTCACGGTGATGTTTAATTTGTATATAGTTTCTAATGAAAAATACAAAAGAATCGCCGCCTTCCAAATGATTGAGCATATAAAAATTTCTAGTTGGAGAGAGGTTGACGTTGACTTTTGTTTTATCTTCGAGAAGCCAATGCATGTTCATGAGAGTAGCTAGGACTTGCCTCTTTCAAGGTCCTAGAGAAGACTCATATTCGACATGAAAGTATGGACGAAGAGGTGAAAGAGCAATTTCTATAAACACAAGAAGAAGACAAAAAGAAGAAATATTAAAAGAGATAATTATAGGCCAAATGGTTGGGCATCAAATAGCCGTATGGTCGAATATTATTTTTGCCATATATATAGTATAGCGCCATTACGATAAAATGAGCTGTATTCTGTAATTAATCGGATAATCTGTTTGGAGGAAAAAGTAGTTAGGTTTTAGACCCAGTGCACTGATAATTTAGCTTATCTGGCGTTCGCTCATCTCCGACATTAACTTGTCTGGCGTTCTACGAAATCGGATATATAGATTCAAAAATGTATATATTAGAATTTGTATATGTAAATTTTTTAAGAAAGTAGTTGATCATCTAGCTTCGGCGAAAATTTTTATGGTTAGTAAAAGCATTCGACATCTAGCCATATATATGTTTTTTTATTATGTTATACTTTAATGTAAAATCTTAATGTTGTACTAACATTCTAATTGTCAATGACTCAATAGTTAATTGTTTTCAAAAACTCATAAATTAGTATAAAAAAAAATAACCAATGAATGGAAAAAAACTGAAGACGAATAAAAGAGGCCAAAATTAAAGTGAGAGGGCACATCATTTTGTAGTAGAATGATGATTGCAAAAGTGGGACAAAAACAGAAAACTCATGATTTGGTCACAAGAATATATACTTCCTTGTTCTAAGTACAAAAAAGCTTGCTTAGAGAGGCAAATACTATACGAAAGTAGTGAAGAAAGAGATTGTTGAAACATCACTCTCATGTCCAATTCCACAATGTGTGTGGCACCACGCTTTTGTTTCCTCGTATTTTTTCATGAATATTACTGTTATTTCATCTTCGACTTCTTAGTATAATTATTATTCTGCATTCTGCAGCATTCTGCAGCATTTTGCAGCATTCGCCTGTTGTTTTTTTGCAGTGACTGTTTTTGTTCTATATGTTATATGTAGACAAAACTTAGAAATATACTTGTTGTGAAGTACTGTTATGATTATCACTTTAAAAGTTAGTTGTCAGATTCATCACTTATTCACAGTAAATTCACATAGATATATATATATATATATATAACTGAGTTCTTCCAGTTCTAGTTAAATTGTGACCGTTATATATTAATATTATAAATGAATTTAGAGATCAAACAGGATTCAGATTTAGTATATTTTTATGTTTTTTTTTTTTTAACATTATTCTGGTTTAACGTATTTGCATATTAGTTGGTACTTGCTACAAGTTGTATAAAATTGTCCTTGATATTGAGTTACCTATGAAGAACTAGTCTTTGTGTTAATTTAAGGCTGAGGACAAAACAATAAGCACGTGTTGTGTTAAGCATCCAAATCTTTGAAGTTTCTTGCAAGTGTATAGTAATTATATAGCTGACGTTATGCCACGTCGTCAAGACAAAGATGGAGGTTTTCGCCGACGGAGAGATATTAGCAGAGGTCAATGTCATCATTACATTTTACTGATTTACATGAGGTCTCAAATCGCCGAAATCATAAATTACCATCAAACATGATTAGGAATCATCGCTTTTTTTTTTAATTCACGGAGGTTAAGTAATAATTCTTAATTATATCTCCCTCTAAATATAACAACTTAATCAGAATTTATTATTCTCAAATTTCTTTATAAGAAAAGGTATTCGACTTTACGTGATTTCAGCACATATAACGAAAGAGGCAATTCTCGTATCTTTTGGACAATTGGGTCCACATAAACGGAATCCTTAAAATCATTTTTAAGTATTGTTTAGTGAAAAACACTTCACGTCATTAAAATAGTTATAACGAAATGATAATTCAGTCTCATTTTCTGGTTTTTTCTAGCTTTCTTCAGAATCAATTCTGTTTAGCTTCGGATTCGAGCAAGATATAATATTTAAAAATAGGTGATTTCCTTTTTAATTAAATAATCAGTCAGTCACAAATGCTTTCGATATTTCAATTCAAATTTACAAGACTAGAAGTTAAAGATCTTAAACTTCATAGATATATAAGATTAAAGTTGAAATTACTATACCTTTTTTCTTTTTCTCGAGCCTGATTCAGGAAGATTTTTTGTATCTGTAATTGTATATATCATTCTTTAGTTCTAAGCAAACCAAAGCAATAATTAGAAAGTTTAAAGAGCAGTTTTGAGTTTTAACGGCGCCAATTAAAATGAATTAAAGTTTAAAAGATATTTAAAGAGGTGACATGGTTTTCAAAAGAGAAAAGAAGTAATAATAAAAAGAGATTTTGTCTAGTTGAAAAGATATGTGACCCATGATCTTACTCATGCATAATTACATTAAGTAGGACCTTAACTCATCCTGCACATATTTTCCTTTTAATGTTTCTTTTCTAATTGAGCTATTGATTTATTCTTTTGCATCCACACGTATTTTGATTAGAACCGTAGAACTCATGTATATAACTGGATTTTTTAGTAGAATGCAGTCAAAATACATTTTTCTTGAATCGAGGGCAGAGTGTTACGTTTGATTACCATGCTCCTATGGACGTGGATAAGGATGTTGCGTTTTGATTTTAATGAATAGATGGCATGGTAAATTGGTAATCAAGCTTAGCACTCTACACTCAATGGTAATCAATCTTAGTCGTAAAAATATCGCACCAAATTAGGTTTACTTGGGGTTATATGATGTAAAGACGAAGTCACTTTTATAAAATCTTTAAATTTGAACCTAAATCCAGTTTCATTCTACCTAAGTATATCATCACTTCATTGACATATTGTTGCAGTCGGTATTCCTGAACATTAGTTGTAATTATTAAAAGGTATTTTGTCTGGTTGAAAAACATAATGCATCAAACGAATATAATTACATGATGTGTTAGAACTAATAGTCAATCTCTGATTAACCACACACTCTTCATTAATTAATTATTTTTTGTATCCTCACTTTCTTAAACTTCCCCATCAGTCACTCTTTTTTTTATCTTTCTGTAAGTCTATGTCCCAATTATAGGGATCAACAATGTCCTTTCTCCAATCTAAATCTCTTTTTCTTTCCTTTAATTATCTTCCAGTATAGTATAATTATTATGCATATGTGACGCGTATCAGCTCCTTATTTGATGAATTTCTTTAATTTCAATTTATTAACTTTAATGAATTCACACAAACAATATAACTTCTTTTTTTTTTTTTATGTCAACCACATATACTTTGTGTTTAAGAGTGAAAATCGGTAGTCTACTGGCCCACACGAAGGAAATGAAAAAACTGGCAAGTCGTTTTCATTTGTAAAAAGATTATAAGAAAATTTGGTTTGGGGTTTTATACGTTGCATTCACAAGAGAAGTCATGAAGATTTTTCTTAAATAACCCATATATAGGATCATCAGCTAATATAGCTATATATAATATAGTTCATCTTAGTCCAAATTTCATATCTCATGTTGTTATAACAGATCTTCTATATCTCATGTTGCTAGAACTTGGTCCGGTCCTAAAATCATCTATAGTATGGACCTTCTTTACGCTTTTAGAAACATTCGTATTAGACAGGAATTTTAAATAGACTTTTGGGTTCTTACTTCTTGAAAGATGAGCTATTATCCTATATAATAATTAGATTATAACTTAATTAAAGAAAAAAAAAGTTTGGATTTTACAGTATGCTGGGACATAGAGTAACATATTAACTCAATCGAAGCATTTGAACAAAGTCTGAACATTCGTTTCGAAGTGAAGTCGAAGTCCAAAGGATCGTTATCGTGATTCTAACCTGGTGGGGTTGATTCAACCCAAATTTAATACTATTTTGAGTTGAAATTCCTAAGACGGTTACATCTTGTTAGATAAGTAGTAACTTTATGGGTTCGTGTATTTGGCAAATATTTTTGAAATTCGGCTTTAAACATAAAAACACAGCTTATGCTAAATAAGATTGAGCTCCGATAGGTAAATAGAGCCCAAAAAATAGTTCTTGCACTTTAGGCCCAATGTGCTTTATAAACGATACAATGGAGTCACGTGGTCTCCAGAGCCCAGCGAATAGTCGCTGTCGCAGCATGGGCCCCACGCCCCGAGAGGACTGCTTGTTAGTAGTAGTTAGTAACAATTGTCATATAGTCGCATCAAAAATATTTTTGTAGCCTAACAATTGCCTTTGCAAAATCGATTTTTTTTTATCTATCCACTTGGAAATAATCCAAGAAACAGGGACGAAAAAGATTGAAATTATATATAAAAAAATGGCGTCATTTATTTGCTTTTAATTTTTTAAACCTCGAAAACATAGCTATAGCTTGAGACGTTTACAATTGGGCTGGGCTAGTTAGGTAGAAGACTATATTGGAGGTGATATTTGCAAAACAGATAAGGTGGAAAATATACAAATCAAATTATAGCTCATCAATTCCCTCGTTAATTAAGACTTTCATTTGAGGTTTGGTGAATGTTTATTCAAAATGTTCTCCATTTATTGTTCTATTGAAGCTAATATTTATACATGTATCAGGTTTGGCACTTGAGTTAAGGATGACATATAATTTGTTATATTGCACTGTTTTTTTGTTTGTTTATAGATTTTGATTGTGATTCATGTACTTCCGAACAATATGTAAGAAATTAGAAAAAGAATGAAACTTTATTCTTTGTGCAAAGATACAAATCAGCATATAACTTTGAAAAAAAGCCAACATATTTGTCTTCTTTTTATGTAGATAGTGTGCTTACGTTTTAAAGTATGATTCCATGCGTGTTGCGTACTAAAACTGTAACTTTTATCCGACGTAATAAGGCAATCACTCTGTTTGGTATTTGTTCGTAGAGAACTACAAAGAGGGGTCTAAGTAGGCTGTTTACTTAATGCAGCCAATGGAGAAGAAAGTGACTGATGAGATGATGGAGAAAGAAACAGGAATTTTTGATGTGGTGAAAGATAGTTCAGCATCTGATTCAATCCAGATTGAGCGTGTTGATCAAACTCTTATCGATGAGAACAAACTATCAGCTGAATCAAAGAAGGAATCACCTGTAGAAGTGGTGGAGGAAGTTGCAGATGTTGAAAAATCTGAAGAATCTGCAGAGAAAGAGAAAGATGAGAGTAGTGAGAAAGAACCTACAGAAATGGTTTTGATTGTTGAAGAGGTTAATGTTGAATCATTTGATGAGGAGAAAGCAGAGAAGAAGGAGACCATGGAGGATGTTGATGAAGAAGTTAAGGAGGAAAAATATGCTGAAACTGCAGAGAAGAAAGATGTGAAGATTGTTAATGTTTCTGAATCGACAGATAAAGCTGGAGGGAAACATGAAGATGAAATCAAAGATGTGGAACCTGTTTCATCAGCTGAAACAACAGATGTAAAATTTCTTGAGGTTGAGTCAAAGCCAGAGGCTTCTCAAGCTAAGGAATCAGCTTCAGAAGTTGAGGTAAAGGCAGAGGAAAACTCTGAAACAGAGGAAGAAGCTGAGGCTGAGCTCCATGTCAAGGTGGAGGAGAAAAGTGTTGAAACAAAGTGCCCTGAGGAAGTTGTATTGATAAGCCAAGATCTAGTGTATGAGCCTAAGAAGGAGAGTGAAGAAGTTTCTTATTCATCTCTCACTGATTTCATTGAGAAGATGGGTATTGAAGCAAAGCATGTAGTGGAAGAGCCATCAAAGGATGTCACAAATAAGCTTGTTGAAGAAGATGAGGGTATCAAGGAGGATACTTTGAGACAAACTGATATTGAATCAAACGAGAAAGCAATTGCAGCTAAATCACAAGAGGAGATGACTGCAGAGAAAGCGGCAGAGGGATTACAAACAGAACCTGATGTTAAAGAAAGCGGTGAAGGGAAACAAGAATCAGAAGTCACAGAGAAAGAATTTTCTGTTAAGCCAAAGCATTCAAGCAACATTATATCAAAGGTAAAACAATCTCTTGTTAAGGCAAAGAAAGCAGTCACTGGAAAATAACCAAGCTCCAAGACTATTTCAACTGAAGCCAAAGAAGAAATCAAAGCCAAGTGATGATTAAGCTCTATGTTATATTTGATCTACTCCTTATGAATTTTATTGGTTTTGCTTTCAAGTAAAAATTGTTTCATTTTCTTTATTGTTTAGGTACGAATTGTTGTGTTCTTATTACTGGTGGCCTTTTGTCTTATGTATGTGTGTGGTAACTTTCTTCTCTACATAAATGTTTTTGTTTTCCATCTCATCATTAAAGCTCCAATTTAATACAGCAATTCACCTCTCACCTAGTCTCTGATAGGTTGGTTAGGCTACATTTCCACAACTTCACCAATGTATGAAGTATGAACCTTGAAACACTATTTTTGCTGAATTGCAGGAACAATCTTACCAAAAGTGACGAGTTAAAGTTCTTGACTACACATCAAGAATTTGAGTGTCCGTTTCTACTTTCCTTTCCAGTTCTGCCGCAACAGAATGGGCTTTTTAAAATGGAGTTACGTTTCCAAACGTGGACAAAAAAGAATACGTTTTCAAAAACGTGGACACCATAAACCTAACGTAACCAAAACGTATCACTAGGACAGGATTTGAAAGCTTTACCTCTCGTTTTAATCTCTCACGTGACCAAGGTTTCATATACATGTGGCACACAGAATTCACCAAAATCTTTAGTAAATTTTTTGTGGTCACTTATATTTGCAACCATTAAACACCCATCAAGGGCCCAACACATCTCTAAAAGTGGAAAGCAAAGCTAAAAAGCCAATCAAGGCACAACACAAAGCCCTTCTCTCCACTCCTTATTACTCTTTGAATTGCCATTCTCTACGGCACATGGGGCAATGAGCTTGGCTCGTCTGTGAATTAACCCATTTCAGTATGCAATGGAGGTGAAACGAATGGTTGCAAGCTCCCCAAACTGCTCAATTACCGTAACAATCCACGCATAAGAACAAAAAGCAGGGGTTTTTGTTTTTGCCAACTTTGAAATAGGCAAAAAGCTTAACAAGGGTTTTCATCAAAACCATCACACTATGTAGAGACATGAAAAGAGAGGAACTTACTTAGAGGGCAATCATCTCCAGGGAGTTTGCAGTCTGGACAACAACCATCAAATGGCATTCGACATATCCCACATGTCTCATCTTGAGCATCCCATGTCCATGATGCAACCGCATGCCATCTACAGTTTTTTCACAATGTAAGAATTTGTTGCGAATGGAACTGGGGCTGCAAATTATACATGTACTAATGGAACGAGGGAACTTACTCTGTTTTTCAAATTCAGGGGACATAGTAGCACTGCGAGTCAAGACGAAAACAATGCAGGAACATTGAGCTATCTTAGTCTACCCTATATGAATCAGTTGAGAGTTGGTAACAAGAATCCTCATCAAAAAACTATTACATAGTGACTCACATCAGTAATCAAAAGTGAAATTCATGAAAAGAAAACAATTTTATATATTATGAAACCTAGCCTGCATCTTAGTAAATCATGTCTTGAACGTAAAAGAACCAATGTACCGGAAGATCATCATCGATAATCCTAGGATCCTTATTTACCAAAGCTGCACCTTACCAATAAACGTTTGATGCATGATAATCAGAGAAAATGAATTAAAGGATACGCAAGAGCTTGACTTTCATGGCTTCCTGCTGACGAAACAAAAAATCTTATATCAGCTTTACAAAACCCAACATAGAAAACACAAAGACAAGTTACTAAGCATGCAAACACGAAACAGATCTACGAAATTAACTAGAAGATCACAGGAAAACACAATAACATAATTTTTTTGTTTAAAACTCACAATAAGCAAAGAGATTACAAAACCAAAGAGTGAATGTACATCTCATTTTCTGCCACAGAAGTTCAAGTGTTTCAACAGATTGCCAGTAATCTCAGAAGAAAAGCTTTAGTCAAAATCAATAAACCCACAGAAATCAAAAGACGATGAAAAGATAATGAAAATATATCTCTCTCTCAGACATTTGATCGAACAACTAGTAGGCCAAATCTAAACTTTAGACCCTCTTTATTTTTCTCGCGATTAGAGATAGTCTTACATTGGAATGAATATAATCCAACGAACAATTAATTTCACCAAATCAAAGCAAAGATGTAATGTAACTATAACACTCAGAATTCAAAAAACTCACCAGCGATGACGGAGCAGCGAAATTCGACGGGGAAAGTGACGAGAAGGGGAACGAAAAAAAAAAAAGCGTTGTTCAGCTTATGGGCTTCAAATCAAATTGGGCTTTAAGTGAAACTGAGCGTAAGGCCCATATCTGCCTTAAGCAACATTCATACTCATACAAATCGGAGGATCACGATGAATTTATTTTGGTATTTTGAGATATTTTAACTATTGCTGTTAGACAAGAACATTGACTTTTATTTTTTTTATTAGGAAAGAAATCCTTTTTTTTCCAAGATTATCTACCATATTTTGCTTTTCTAGATATTTATACTATATAAATTCACTCTTTGGTTTTGTAATATATATTAAAAAAATTTCTAGATATTTATACTATATAAACTCATACACAAGCTAACTAATAAATTCTGTATGTAATATATATTAAAAAAATTTCAATATAAATTATACTTTTTGAAATCTGGAAATAATGTTTTCCACGTAAAATATGGGTGGTAAATTATACTTTTTGAAATCTGGAAATAATGTTTTCCACGTAAAATATGGGTGGTTATTCTAATGAAATTTAGTTTTCACACATAATTCCGAACTTTATTACTTAGTTGTTTATATTCCGTCCGTATGACTGTCCACTTTTTCTCGAATAAACCAATTTTTTTTTTTAACTGCACCACTAGCCAATAAGAACCCAATATTTTTTATTGGTTTTGTGAACCGTTGACTATACTCTATATTTAGATGCTAAATTTACTTCCCAAAACAAAATATTGTTTTCCATTAATATAATATCTCTGAAAAGGTATGGTATTGATATATATAGATAATATGATTGGATTTAGATAATAGTATATAGAATCTCCTAATATTTAATTCAAACATTGATATGTATATATAAACAATACTCCATTTTACAAAGTACAGAAAAGAAAAAAACACAAAAAAAAAAACACAAAGAGTCATGACGAGACAAAAGGTGAAAATGGTTTACATAGAGAATGAGTCGTCAAGGAAATCAACGTACAAGAAAAGAAAAAGTGGCATTTTGAAGAAAGCCTACGAGTTAGCAACTCTCTGTGACGTCCCGATAGCCGTAATGATCGACAGTCCATACGACTTGAGCCCGGAGATGTGGCCATCGAGAGAAGCAGTGGAACATGTTGTGTCCGAGTGGAATAAGTTGTCGGTGATGGAGAAGACCAAAAAAATGGTTAACCAAGAGACGTTTCTCCAACAGAGGATCTTCAAATCAAATGAGAGTTGGAAAAAAATGTGGAAAGAGAACAAAGAGTTGGAGATGAAAGAGGTTATGTTTGATTGTCTTAGTGGGAAAACTTCGGTTACTCGTACCAAGAAAAGTGATCTTCGAGATTTTAATTGTGTCATTGAGCAGTATCTCAAAGATCTTAATCGTAGGGTCGAAATTCTTAAGAACCATGACTCGTCCTCTTCATCTGCTGCTGATGTTGCTACTACAACAACTCATGATATCAACATGCCTAGGTTTGAGACGGGTTCTTCTTCAGCTGGATTTTATGATAGGATTCGAGATCAAATTGAAAATAGTTTGAATGTGAAACACAACGTTAAAGATTTGGATCTGAACAAGAAACAGTGGTGAGCAAGATCGGTTAGTGTTTGGAGAACACTATTGTGAACATCGTGAGCGTGTCTTTGATCGTATGTTGTTTTTCTTATTTATCATTATTTAAACTACCAATAAAAATATATATTTGAAGTTCTGGTTTTTTTTAGAGTTAGATGTTGTCATTGGTTTGACACGTCTTTGTATTTGATCTTGAATGAAATTTCATTTTCTCTAGTTAATAAAATGTTTTCTCCTGGATATTATTTTGTTTCTCCTTTCAAATTATTCGCAAACTTTTACACGGTTTATACAACATGGATTTAACCCAATAGAATTTAATTTTGTTATGGTTATTTTTTTTGTCAAGCTTTCTGTCACGGTTAAATTAAAAAATCACGTCAAGAATAAAAGAAACGCATACATCGATCTCTCCATCTGAAAACGTTTCGAATTATGAAGATTGTATGAATGGCCTTGCCAAATTATTATGGCTTTACACGATATCCATTAACAAATCAGAATCAAACAAAGGTTCCAGTCTTCCAGAGATATACGAGAGTCATAAATATTAGGGGACAAAAAACAGAAAACAAAGAAATCAATTAAGAAACAAATATTAAGATTTGTTATCTATGTATGTGAGAGATTATCAGTCCAAAGATCTGAGGCGATTATTTAAACGTTGTATCACCAAAAGCAATGCATCATGCATGCATGCATGTGACAGTCAATTGTACAATTAATTTTTGAATTAGATTCACAAATATATTAATTTTCATTTCATAGAATTAACATTCGTAACGTTAAGTATTAGCTGTAAAAGTAAGTTTTTCATTACGGATTTTTGTTTCAGTTGAAAAATTATTTATTTTGCTGGTCATTTTGATGAAATGGAGATATTATGACAATGTGGGAAAAAAAGAAAAAAATTGTTTACAAATTTACAGTTGTTGAATGTGACACCAAATTCTGTTTACACCGATATAAAACCGGATGTCTTACTACATTTGAATATCAAATATCAATATGGTAATTATTCATTCCTTAAAACAAAACAAAAATTATCACATTAATCAATACATTTGGATTTTTCGACTCGAAAGAAAGTTTTGATCTATAAACTATTTAAGTTAATACGAATTTCGACAAAAATTTCTAGCAAGATCTTTTTATCTTCCATTTTGCTTTTACACTGTGTGGTAGAACTTTTTATTCCGATCCTTTATTCATCTAATTATTAAATTGCTATGATTCTGTAAATATGAAAATAGGTACCCCAGGAAAATAAATCAAATAGCAGACAAAAGTTAAGATGGAAATAAAATTATAGAAGAAAAAAGGAAGAGATATTTTAGATGGTTGGTTCTAATACGAAAGACACGAAGGAAGTCATGTCTTGTCCATTTGACAGAAAGTGTTTCAACGCCAAATTGATGGGCTTGACTTGATCTTCAAATCATGAATCTGTTTCTTCTGAACGACTTTTCTATATACAATTATATACCCTAATTATACTCTAGTGTTTGTCTTTTGTTTCTTGTATAGGTCTAAGCATAAATAAACCCTACCAACGAATCTTCAGAGCAAATCTTAAAATAGGTGATATAGCACTATTACTGGATGATTATATGTGTCTTTGTTTTAAAAAATGTGATATGTTTTGAACGGATGGTCAGTAGCACCGATCGAGAAATTACATTACTATTCGGGTTTGTTATTAATTGGAACACGTAAAAACAAGTAACGAATATATATCAGTGTGCAAAAATTAATGATAGGATATCTATAAAAACGATGTCTTCGTGAAATTAGTTATCTTTATCTTTTTGGGTTTTTGGTTAAGCTGCGTACATCTAAATTCAATTTCATATGATTATTTCATGGTCTTCGCTAAATGAAGTTATAGCAAAATTTTCAGTATGAGTCGTCTTGACGAAATGCTGGATAGTGTTTAAAGGTTAGTTCCATTTAGTGATGCTCCATTTTAATAAAATTTGCCATTTTCAATTAGATCCAGCTGCTCAAAAAATACTTGTTCGGGGTCCAAAACTACTTAATTAATAAAGTTAGCACCATAGTTCATTAGTTCTAAATATATTGTAGTAGAGTCTGTAGACATCACTTTCTCAATGCATCAGACAAAAAATCTAGGCATTGCGAATATCTCTTTTTAAAAGTGAATCATAGCTTATCTTTCAAATCTAAAACAACTCAAAACCATCCAATGCCAGACACAAAGACATGAATCTTTATATTGTATACTTGATCGTTTGAACTTCAAGCTAGGACCAAACCCAGATTAACCAAATACGATCACTTCTTAAAATTTCATAAGGTTTTCATAGAAAACCTTAATTATAGGTTTACACTATCATAATTTGGGAATTAAGCAAGAAGAAAAAAGTATGATTTCTGAGTTTTATTTCTTTATATTCATCTTTTTTTTACAATCATATATAGATGGAAAAACATAAGTATAATCATAAAACTTTAGGTTTTCACACATAATAATTTGGACACAAGACCAATTTGATAGATCGGATTCGCAAAACATATCATGTTATTTTCAAATGCTACTTTTGTATGAATATTAGATTTTATAGAAGGTTTAATTTGGTTTAAAATTTTTCAATTTATACTATTATTTGTGAAGAAAAAAAATCTGATATGTTATACTCACATCGATTTATATGTTAATTTAAATATATATGTCATCGTATTTTTTCACGTTATGGTGGTTTTTTTATCATTTTAATAAATTCTTCTTTAATCATATGTGTCTTTTATAAATGATGTATCGTTTAACTGGGTTTTAGGCTAAAGTATGTGTTGTTTAATTAGGTCTAACGCCGTTTTAGGTTTTCAAATATGTGTTTATTGAATGTCTAATGTCTAACCTATTATGGTGAGATATATATAGGTTAAGTTAGTGGTTAGGTTTTCGTTTTTTTTTTAATTAAACCCAATGCAGCTACCTTTTATTAAATTTTCTTGATTTAAGTGAATTTCTTTCAGCGAAATTTTCTTGATATCTTTCAGCGATCATTCTTGATATCTTGATATATTTCAGCGATAATTATTGACAAGTTTCTTTCAGCGATAATTTCGAATATTTTAATGTTATCATTCTCAATGACTTGTCAATTATGTTTTCTTGATTTAAGTGAATCTCTTTCATTTGTTGAGACTTGAAAACTAATAAGAATCCAACCCATAAAAAAGGTTATAGAATTGACTGTAATTTCTGATCAGAAAGATTCTAAGTCTTGTGGCCTTCCATCAGCTAGCATAGTGCGTTGTTGATATAATCAACTAATAGTAAAACTTAGCTTTACTTCTTTGCATTATGAGAATCATGCATTATTCTCCTCCTTAATTTGTTTTCTGTATATTACGGTTTAAATCCGTAACTAACAAAACAGGCTAACTTTGGTTTTCTCCTTTTATAAAGTACCAGACTTTTCAATATATGTGACTAATTGGCTCTCAAACTTGTATATATATAGCCAGTTTAATCTAATATTCAGTTGGCCTCAAATTAAGGACAAAGGCTCAAACCATATTATTTGTCACATTGGTGACAAACATATTTCGGATTGTTTTCTTTTTGTTAATCTACTATATATGATAGATAAATAAAAATTTATTTGCGCCTTATATATATATATATATATATACGATTGTATATTGACAATAAGCATTACAGTAAATATCTCTTTCCATAAATATTTATAACCAGATAGTTTAGAGCTTGTCGACCTTAATCACTTTAAGTTATCAACATTTGATAATTACTTGTTTTGTGTTCACAAGCGTAAAAACTTCAATCCCAAGTGTAGCACCTAGGGTTCGACTTTGAGTTAGCACTGAGACATCATCTCTATAACCGGTTCAGCCAACCACATTTGAGCTCTTTATTTCTAAATTTTGGTAAAACCATAACAAAAGAGTTTAAAAAGGGTATTTAGTGATTATTATGAGTAAAATAATATATAAACGGGAAAATAAAAGGATGTAAAATATGAAAAATAAAATATTAGACAAAAGAAGGTGAGAGGGAGGAAGAAAGAAAAGCAAGGAATAAATCTACTCTTAGAAATGTACCTTCGTGTACAAACTACAATATATGTGGGAAAATAATATCATCCTCATATTGTTTTAGATTCTACAGACTACAGCTGGCTCCAGATCTTTGTTCTTATTGAATTAATCTCAATAAATAAAATCATTTCGTACTATTGCTAGTTGGTTACGATAGTAAAAAATTGTATATAAAAAAATGTTACATATTGGCTACGAAAAGCCATAGTCCATCTTCAAATTTTATTGATTAAGGACTTACTGATTTTACATATTGGCTACGAAAAGCCATAGTCCATCTTCAAATTTCATTGATTAGGGACTTAGTGATTTTTGCATTTTTTAAAAGAGCCTACTACTTTATTCATCTTCTTCCCCTCGGGTAGTTATACATTTATACTGTTTAACCAAGGGAAATTATGTCGCACAAAAAAAAAAGCAACGGAAAATTATATATTGTATTGTGAACTTGTACTTAGTGCTAATACTTCCTAGAGATCAATAGATCCATGAGACAATAGTGTAAGATCTGAATTTTTACTCTAGACTCGAACCATATCAATGCAAATATCTTAGTACTGCGTACGTCTTATGATGTTATTGATCATTGTCATTTATCTAGGGATTCTTTTGTTACAGTATAGGTGAAATATATTTATGGATCATATATATAATGCTCAACACAAACGTATCGGTGAAAATTGCATGTTTTAACCTTTCAAGTCCTTTAGGAACATTAATGGTAGAGAGTGACTTTAAACTACATGTAAGACATTTTATAAACAAATCATCGTAAGGACATCATAAGAACACAAAAGAAAATAAAAGATAGAAACATGATGATCATAAATCATGATGACCGGCTAGTCATGATGGGATTGGCAAGGAGGGAGAGTTTGGCATTCGGACTCAGAAACACGAGAGGCATGGAACTTGGCAATGAAGGCAGAAGCTTTACGGTCAATACCTGGCTCAGCCACCCAATAACGCTTGTCCTCGTCGCTGGCCCATGCCTTTCTTGTGTATACAGCGTCGTCCCATGCGTCTGCTTCAACTCTATGAGACGAGGACCTTCGTGTTTTAAAGAAGCTGAAGAATGAGAACTTCTTTCTGCTGTTACTTCCCATTAGACAGAAAAAAAACACACCAAGGGTTCAAGAAAAAAAATCGAATAAGTTTGTGTTAGTTTGATGTGTTTTGTGTAATTGTGTTTTATGTGTAGAGATGAGTTTTGAGGATGTATTTATAGGGTGACTGAACAAAACAGCTTTTTGTGGGAGTTTTTTAGTCCGGTTTGGTTCGAATCTTCGTTGTGTTCTACTTAGAAATTAATTATATCAAAGCGAAATAAAGTTTGGTTCAGTGTAGTAGTTAGCTACATTGCCGGACCCACGTGTTTTTACGTGTCTCTTGTAATTATTTGGACCTATTCCTTTGTGGGATAGACATTTTGAGTCGTTTGGAATTTTTATCGGGGTAATATGTTTGGCATAATTAGAGTTTTCGTCAAATATTCTAAAATCATCATTTTTTCCTCAAAAATTTTCAACTAAAAATTCAAAATTTGTTAAAATTTATCGGTATACACAATGCTCTATTCTAAATCAAACCTGATAGAACGAAAACAATAAGCAATTCATGTTGCGTATTGCATACAATTTCTTATTTACTGTTACTTTATAATAAATGATTTTCGTGTAACTAATTTTTTTCTAACATTCAACAGATAACGAGCGATGATATTATTATTATTATATTTTTGTCTAATTCATCGACCAAAATAATGCGTTATTTTGATATGTGTTTTATGTCTAATTTATCCTTAAGATAAGGAGCTATCTTCGTATAATTATTTGTCCACATTTAAATCATAGAAATCAATGTAAAGATAATCATACTAATTAGAGATATTATTCGAGAATCTGAAAAGGAGGATGAAGAAACATGGAAACTGGTATTATAATCGGACGGTTGTTGAGAATTTCTCGAACAAGCCTAATCTTGAATGGGTCTGCCTTAACTAAAGGGTCTTTTTTCTGTCCATTTTTCTAAATTCCTCCCCAAAGGCATTCAAATTCTCTGTTTCGTTTAGTCTTTTCTTTGGAACTTTCTTCAAACATTTTTATTAGAGTGATCGAATCAAACAAAAAAGTATGTATTTTTAATGTTTCGCTATATAAAAGATAGTATTACTGTCATAAAAGTCCAAACACGGTAGTGTTTATTTGTTGGTTCTTGCTTTCTTCTCTCAATTATGCTTCTCAAATTTCAACGAAGTGCCAAACTCTACAAGACTTTGACTTAAATTCATCATTCATCGGTCCTTGGTTAGAAAATGTAAATAAAAAATGTCTAGTATTACGATTTTCTGTTGGCTTTACAGGAAAACACATTTGTATATTCTAAGTAAACATATTAATTTTGTAGCTTGTTGATATATCAAAACGTTCAGCCCTATCATATGCAAATTCTGAATGTAAATATAATTTCCATTGGAATGTGTAATATGTTTCACATCTTCATTTTAAAAGATATAAATGGACATCTGGAAGTTTAGAATATATGGTTTATACTAATTATATACACCTGCGCCATGTGCGGATAAGGGGTCTTTGTTTTACAATTTCTTTTAAAAGTTAAAATGTTTTTTCTTTAGTAGTTGAATTTATTACAATAGTTTCGTCTTTATTGGTTGTTTCATCCAATAATTTACCACTCGTTTTTGGTAAAACAAACGATAGCTTGTAGATATAGAGTCTAGTATCTTATCTCTAATTGATCTAATAGTTTATCTTATTTCCATCACCTTACTTCGATATCGATGGTTGATATATTAAAACAAACATATACTGTAATTTTTTTATATCATCATGCCAAACACTCCTACAATTAATAAACACCAACTGTCTATAATTTGGTGGGAGTATCGGAAAAAAATCTTAAAATCAATGAAGATAGAAGAGATAACAGTCAAAAGACAAAATGAAAAGGAATCTGTCGAAGAAATTATCACTTAAATGTGTTTTTTTATACGACGAAGAGCGCTTCTTCACTCGTTTTCATTTTCTGTAGAATATATTCAACAGCTTCAAACTACATTATAATAATTAGAATAAATTAAATATCTAGTAGACCTTTTTCACACAAAAATCATAATCTTCTGTAGTAATCTTCTAGACTATAAACTGCATATTTTAAGCTATAATTAAAGCATAACTAATCCACCACCAACAAAGATATGGAATATAAAAGAAAGAAAAAGTTTGATTCTTTTGAGATTTGAATGAGTTAATTTTGATTGGTTTTCTTTTTGCTAGTTTTTTTTTTTGGAAATAAACAAATAAACATAGTTATAAATGATCACATGGGATCACACAATACCTTTTACTTTGTAGCTATATTGAAAGATGAATATTTATGTTTGGGTAAATAATATTTAAACCTGAAAACATGACATGGTAGTAAATTAGGTACAGATTAGATACTTTGAAATTCTAAGGTATCTAAATCCATGGAATTCGAAAAAAAATAATATTATTTGGATCATAACGCATATATTTTGGACAACCCTACATAATAGCACAGGTTTGATGTTCAAATAACCACATTAGTG